GACACGTGGTGGGGGTCCGCAGAGGTGCTGAGTGAGCGGGTGGGCTTGAACCGTCTGGGCCGAGGCCTGGGTGTGGGAGCTGCTCTGTGTGCCCGTGAGACACACCACTCACACTCTCACTGTGCACAGACATGATCTATTCAAACCAATGTTTTCCTTACTTAAAAAAAAAAACAAACCAGTAAGAATTCAAAGTACTCACACAAAAACCTGGATGTGAGGCTTTTCTTGAAAAATGGGAAGAAGGCCTGGCCGTATGGGCCTGTGTTGCTGGGGGTGACAATGACCGGAGCTAAGATGTGGCTGCCCCTCAGCCCAGGGGCCCCAGGGCACCTTCTGCCCTTCCCCTTCTGGCCTCCAAGGGCTTCTGGGCCTCAGGGACTAGCCTGCTAGGCCTGCAGAGTGGGGCAGTGGGGCGGAGGAAGCCCCCCCCGGGCAGGGGCGGCTGTGCAGCCGAGGTCCTGGACCACTGCACCAACGAAGACTCTGAAGCCCCCACAGGACCCGGACAGCTCTGGGGCCTGGGAATGTGGGCATCTCAAGGCCTGCTAGTGTTGCATAAGAAGCTGTTGACTGTTCAACACCAGTGGGGCCCCAGCAGTGTTTCTGGCCTCCCTGCCCCCCACCCTGCTCACTGCGGCTTAAGGGCCTTAGACCCAAAGGTCACCAGGAGAGGGGAGCCACAGTGGCCCCCTGGCACCTAGACCTGAGGGTCTTGGCAAGGAGATGGGTGACAGGGTGAGGACCGTGAGAGGGGAGGGAGGGCAGGCCTGCTTGGACCCTGACCCAGCTCTGAATCTGGGGACAAGTCCCTTGCAAGCCTCAGTCCCCATACCCGAAGCCCCACACTGTGTGCCTGCCCCAAGCACAGAGACAGCGTCTCCGTGAGACCCCGTGTCAAGCTCCTGAGTGCAGCGTGACCAGTCAGCATTCTGCTGAGAACCAGAGCCCACTTTTCAGCGTTATTGTAGGAACTGGCTCATGTGAGTGTGGAGGCTGGGACCTCGGGCAGAATGCGGCCTCAGCATCTGGCGAAGCCCCTCCGGGGAAACTGTCTTTGCCCTGGAGGCCTTCAGCGGGCCCGCAGCACGGGGCTGCCCTCGATGCCGAGGACAAGCTCCTTCCCGACTGTGCACTGTGGACACTAATCATGCACTAAATTCCTGCATGGCAACAGCTGGTGTCGGACGCAGCGAGGGCAAACCCCGCCCAGTCCTCCGTGGTTGCTAAGTTGGCACGCGGCAGGTGACCATCACAGAAAGTGTTGCCCCTTTTTTGTACAAGAGGAAAGTGGAGCTCAGAGAGTCTGTGCCAACTGCTCAGGGAAAGCACAAACACAAGGCAGAGAGCTGCTTCAAAGCCCAGTGAGGGGTTGATGAGAGAGCCCCTGTGTCTGCCCCCACCCTGGAGCTGTGGCTGTGGAGGAGGAGGCAGAGAAGGCCTGCTCCCCACTGTGGGGGCGAGTTTCTGCGCTGGAGTGCAGGGCAGAAACCAGCAGTGCCCAGGGCCCCTCTCTCCCTCCCAGGGGCTCCCAAGGACAGAAAGAGAAGGGTAGAAGGAGGCCTCTGCCAGCCCAGGTGCAGGGGACAGAGAGGAGCAGTGTCCACCAGCATGTGGGGTCACAAGGACCCCCCTGAGGCCCTGGCTGCCCGCCCAGGGGTTCCTGAAAGTGGGTGACTTCCACTAAGGTGGGCTGGCTGGCTCCCTGGTGGGCACGGCCCCCTGCCTCCCTGAAGTGGAGGACGACTTCCACCGTGATCTAAAACCCTTGATGCAGCCCCAGCCTCACGTCTGCCAGCTGCCTGCATTGCCGTTGGTGGAGCACTGGACTGGAAGGCAGAGGTGAGCCACGTGTTCCACTCACTGGCGGTGCAACCTTGGGCAAGTTACTTAATCGTTCTGAACCTCTGTCCCACGCAAGGGCTAGTCATCACGCTGGCCTTCTGCTTCGAGAGCCAAGGTTACATACATAACACAGTGCAAGGCCAAACATCTGGACCAAGTGGGTACTGCTGCCGTACTGCTCACGGTAGTGCCGCCCTCCCTGGCTGCCTCCTTCTTGCCCCATCCACCCGGTACCGCATCCTCAAGACTCAGGCACTCTCTCCCCACCTCCCTTCTGCTCCAGCTCCCTGGAGAGGGGTGCACGGCAGGCTTTTAAAAATGCCTCCAGGACCAGGGAGAAGTGAAGGCCCTTGTTCTGGTTAAGAGTCACATCATGGGTAGCAGCTGGGACTCGGCTAGCCCAAGGCCAAAGCCACGTGGAGCATCAGCAGCACACACTGGAAGTTTGGTCCATCTTCAAAACGGTCCCACGTCCCCTCAGGCCTCCTTGAGGGGACAGCGGCAGGACTTCTTTCCTGTCTGACAGGGTGGAAGCTGAGGCCCAGAAGAAAGCAGTAAGCTTTCTCACAGTCCCTCAGCCACCTGACCTGCAGAGAGGAGCACTGCTAAAAGTAACTCCTGCATCCTAGAGTGGGAGAGGGTGGTGTTCTGGGGCCGGGGTTGACATTTTCCTCCTGCCTTGACCGCTGGGCTGGTGCTGCGTGCAGGAGCTCCTGACGGTGTGGATGACGCAGACTCAGGGTGGGGGTGGGGAGGGAGGTCAGGCCCAGTGTCATCCCAGAACGGGGCCTGGCGGTGCCTGAACTCAGCAGCTTGGCCTTCGCGGTCCAGGGCCAGAGTGATAAGATGGGTGTGTACCGCAGCTTCCATGGGGAGACAAGTCAGGAGTGAGAAGGAGAAGAGGGAGGGAGGGCTGGAGGGAAGGAAGGAAGAAGGCAGGGGGAGGGGGAGAAGGCAGCCTGAGTAAAGCCAGCCAATCATCACAACTCCCCCGGAACCAGGCCACCCAGACACAAGACAGAGGCCAAAACGGAGGTTCGGGGCACCGGGCAACGTGCATGGGTCATATAGGCGCTGAGGCAGGGTTATTCCTCGCCCCTCTTGGTCTCCAAGTGGAAACCACTTTCTCAAAATGTTACCCCCAGGACACTCCATCAACCCGTTTCCAGGAGAGCAGCCTGATGAAAATGCAGACTCCTGGGTCGGCCTCTAGGGGGTGTAGCCCGGTACCTTAGTATGCACTTTGTCCAGTGCCCCAGCGGGGGTCTTGAGCCCTGACCCTGGGAAGCTCTGGGGCTCTTCTACGGCTTTTCTGGTTGACCTCCTGGCCCCAAGTCCCTGCTGCAGCCCAGCTGTTGGGGCTGACTCATAACACGCACTGCCCGAACAACAGACCCGGGGCTTTCCCACTGCAGGCTTCAGCACCCCATTCCCGCTGCTCGTCCCCTCTGAAGCCTTCCTGGCAGTTGGAATCCCCCTCCTTCAGTGCCTGTTGGAGTAATAGCCTCCTCCTCAACCTGGAATTATTTACAACATCCGACTTCGTTGGCCCTCCCTGCAAGTCTGCTTTGTTTCCCAACCTTTCCCTCTATTAAACAGGAAACTCCCAGAGGGCTTGAGACTTGTTGGTTCAAACAATGAGCCTCTGAAATCCATGACTTCACCTGATCCTCCCGCCGACCTCAAGTGCCAGGGCTGGGAGAGCCTGATGGCAAGGAAACCCAGCCTCTGAGGGCGGGAGCCTGGCCAAGGCCAAGCCAGAGTCAGAGCTGGGCTGGAACCTCGTCACATCCAGCTCCACTGGCCAGTTCTGTGCTGATCTGCCTCGGGTCCTGTCACCAGCCCTGTGAGGCAGGCAGGACGGGGTTCGTGGTCCCATTGTTCAGATAAGGAAGGTGAGGCCCGGAGAGGGGCAAAGTATTAGACAGCATCTTTGCCCTGTTTCCACTTCTACATGTACTTGGGTCTGAGCCCAAGTGCAGACCTTTTCTCTGGACCCCCTCCAGCTGATGGGCACTGCCCAGGGCCCCTCAGCAGGAAAGGGCAGAGCTGGGTCTTGGGCTCCCAGGCTAAAGCCTTCACCAGGGCTCCTGGACTGGCCCCAGATGCCTTCTCCGACTCACCGTTGGCTGGAGACTCAGAGAAGGGATTGGGAACTGTGCCTGAGCATAACCTGGTAGCTGTCACTCTGGACCCTGTCCCTCTTATTAATGCCTAGCTGAGGAAGGGGCAACGTGGATAGCCCTTTCCCTGAGTGTGAAGGAGGGCAGCCCCAAGCCTGGCACAGGCCCAGACCAAGCCAGCCTGGGTTCAGCTGGGAAGGGAGCACAGCAAGGCCGCATTCCTGAGAGGGATTTGCCAAGCTGTGCCTTGCAGGTGCCATCTCCCGGACGCTCAACTTTGGAATGGGGTCTGAGCCACCCAGCCGGTGCCCAGGGTGGTCCTCAAGGGACTTTGGACAACCCACAATGAAAAACAAAAATAATAACTTATCTGTGTCGACCATAACAGTGTCAGGCCCTGTGCTTCCCCGCCCCCGCGCCGCCCTGAGCCCAGGTGCTCAGAGCCCTGGGCTGTGCGAGCTCTGTCCAGCCCTGCTCCTTCTCTGCATCAGGTTAAGCTCCTTCATCTCCGTCCAGGAAGCGCCACCACTGGGTCTCCTTTTGATTCTGCGCCTCCTCCTTGTCCTCCTCACTGCGAGCTCCCCCCTTCAGCCCCCTGCACAGCACCCGGGACCACCCCACCCTCGGGCAAGCCAGCCAGCAGTGAAAGCAAGCTGGCTGGGGCAGACTACGGTGCTGACCCCCGTGTTGGGCCCGCCCTCCTGAGTCCCAGTCCCGGGACTGCAGAGCCCTCCAGTTCCCCGCGGTCCCCAGCGGCACCTGCCCTCCGACTCTGCCCTTTTGGAGCTGGCGGTGGGGGGCAGGGCTCTGGAGCCTGGAGCAGTCGCCGGGAAAGCCTCGAAGGCGTGCGGGAGAAAGTCATCCGCCCTCCACCCTGCCCTCCTTCCTTCCGGCCCACGATCCCGGGGACCAGGGAGAACCCGGGGCTGGCCTGACCCACGGGTGCCACCTTGGCGGTCGGCTCCCCAGCCGCTGAGCGCCGCGCCTGCGCGGAAGCAGCCGGTGCCCATGGCGCATGCGCAGTTGGCCCTTTCTGCTGTATATTAGTCCGACCGCGTCCGGGGCCGGACGGTTTTTGTGGACAAGGGCAACGGTCTGGTACGAGTCGTCGGCTTGGACACTCGCCGCCACCGCCTCCACCGCTTCCTCAGAGTGACCGGCGCAGGTGAGAGCCTGCACTCTGGGACCCCGCGTGCCCTACCAGCCCGCGCTGACCCCGCTCCCCGGGTCCCTGGGGCCCCATCCCCCACCGCCCCGGTCACCTGCCGCCCTGGGTTCAATGTTCTTCTCCCAGACCTTCGGCCTATTCGGCCGCGTCCTGACCTTCCCCGGTTACTGACAGCTTCTGGATTCCTTTATTCATACACCCCACCAGGCTATTCCGGAGCCCTCGACCTCGGGCAACCTCTGAACTCCCCCTGCCCTGGACCACTGCCTCGCGCCAGGCCCCCGACCGCGAGTCCCCTCTCCCCTGGTCTTTTCTCAGCGGTGCCCAGCGCCTGGGGAAGGCCTGCCTCAGGGACCCAGGGCCGGCTGGGTGCCGCCCGAGGTCCAAGAGAGTGGGGAATCCTGTAGAGCCCTTTCAGCCTGCGAGTATGACAGTGGCTTCTTCCCTAGCTTCCCTTCATCACTTGGGTGTGGCCTGAGGTGTCCTGTCCACTCTGTACCTCTTCCTGGAAGAGCCTCTCACCTCCCAAACCTGTTCCCGGGTTGTTCCTCATCGTCCCACCCCTTGTGTGTTAAGCAGTGCCTGCTCCACTTGGTAGAGTTGCTTTGCAGGTGCTTTGGTAGAATGGGGACCCAGGCAGAGTGTGGCCACTGCTCCTTAGTTGCGTTCCCTGCCCGTGCTGCGCTTAGACATCTGTGAGTGAGGCTGACTGGTACCCCAGAGGACCCTGGCTGTGACCTGCGGACGACGCCTGAACCCAGTGACCTTTCAGTAATGTTGTGTGGCTATTAACAAGTGCTCACATCACTCTTCTTTCTCCAGGATCAGTGCACCTCCCGGACATGGAGACTGTTGTTCGCCGCTGCCCATTCCTGTCCCGAGTGCCTCAGGCCTTTCTGCAGAAGGCAGGCAAATCTCTGTTGATCTATGCGCAGAGCTGCCCCAAGATGATGGAGGTCGGGGCCAAACCAGCCCCCCGGGCTCTGTCCACCACAGCAGTGCACTGCCAGCAGGTCCGGGAGACCCCTCCGGCTAGTGAGAGTGAGTGTCCTTAGCAGGGAAGCAGGGTTCAAGTTCATTCCTAGACTGGAAGCAGCCCCAGTCCACAGTGGTAATGGGGGGCCTCGCCAACCAGGGGGTGACTCAGTGCCAGGGTCAGTTCTTAGTGTAGATTATGTCACGTAATTGTCGCCCTAATCTCACAAGCTAGGCCCTTGAGGTTTCCCACCTGGAAAGGCGAGGCGGTGACCGGTGTTCCGTGCGACAGGGTTTTGGAGTGCTTGTCAGTGCCTCGTTCCCCCGGGGTGCACAGTGGGCGTCTTCTGTTTCAGCCCGTCCTTCATGAAGGGTTTGGCCCTTTGGCTTTTTTTGTTTAAGTAGACTATTTTAGAGTTGTTTGAGGTTCCTAGCAAAATTGAGGGGAGGATTTTGGGTTTTAACAGTTACGATATTTTTTTTCTGCTTTGTCTCTTAAAATTGTTTTTTAAAGATTTTATTGACTTACTTTTAGAGAGAGGAGAAGGGAGGGAGAAATAGGAAGAGAGAAACTTGGATGTGCTAGAGATCCATGGATCGGTTGCTTCTTGCCCGCCCCCAGCTGGGGACCCAGCCCAACACTGAGTCATGTGTCCTAGATGGGAATCAAACTAGCAGCTTCTTGATTTGCAGGCTGGCACTCAATCCACTGAAGCCACACCGGCCAGGGCTAAAATTTTTTATGTGTGTGGTAAAATGTATGTAACAAAACCTACCATCTCAATACTTTTTTTAAGTTCCTTTTTTATTTTTTATTTTTCTTAGTTTTTAAAAAAACATTCTGTTGTCAGTTATTTTTAAGTGCACAGCTCGGAGGCAGTAAGTAATTCCCGTTGTTGCTCATCTCCAGAGTTCTTGTCGTCTTGCAAAGCTGGGACAGGCTGAGACTCTGTCCCCATTAAACTCGAACTCCCGGTTCCCTCCCCGACCCAGCAGTGCTACTTTCTGTCTCTGTGGATCCGACTACTCTAGAGCCTCCTGTGAGTGGGACCACACAGACTTTGTTAGAGCGGGTTTGTCTAACACGCGTGTCTTTATTCTGTGTGCAACTTTTACATTTTGTTTGTAATGAAGAGATCAGAGTTGGATTCAGTTTTGGCCTGGCTCTGCTGGGAGAGGTGCGGCTTTTCAGATCTCACGTAATCCTGGAGAATGCTGCTCCTCACAGGCTGCGCTCTGGCTGTGGGTATGTGAGGAGGCAACGTCTTTCTCTTTACAAAGGATTTCGTCCTTTGCAGAATTTTTTTTTAATCTTAACATTTGTTCAGGAGTTATTTTTCCCTGAACAATGAAAACCCTCTTGTACCAGCAAGCCCCTCGGCCTGGAGGAGTAGCTGCGTAACAGGCGGTTTGTCTGCTGGGCAGGCTGCTGCGCGTCCATCAGGGACGGCGCTCACGGACTCGACCGGCTTAGGCAGATGTTTATGGTGAAAACAAACGCATCTGCTGAATAAGAAAAAGGCTTTTTAAACTTGCACATAGGGAAAGAGATAACATACCCAAATGTATGCAATTGTTATGTTGTTCTAAATTGATTTTAGAGAGGGAGAGGGAGAGGGAGGGAAAGAGAGAGGGAAACATCATTCTGCTTATTCGTGCGTTCATTGGTTGATTCTTGTATGTGTCCTGACCTGGGATTGAACCCACAACCGTGGCGTATTGGGACAATGCGCTAACCAACTGAGCTACCGGGTCAGGGCTTGACATGGTTATATTTTGAATGACGGAACTCTTCTTTTCCTGGCCTTCCTACATTGAGTATTACGTATAATGAGTGAAGTGAATGTCAAAGCAAAGTTTTTATTTTTCTTTATTGATGTTTTTAATGCCCCCATAAGGGTCTGTTTTATTGACGTGAGAGAGGGAGGAAAGAACATCGATTTGTTTTTGCACTTGTGCGTTCATTGGTTGCCTCCCGTACGTGCCCTGATGGGGGATCGAGGGCACGGCCTTTTGATGGATGGGAGGACACTCCAACCAGCTGAGTCACCCGGCCGGGTCAGAGGAATTTAAGTGTATTGCGACATATTACCCAGGTTGTAGGAGGGGCTGGCCTGTGACTCACAGGACCGCTCCAAAATGAGAAGAAAGACTTCTCCAGAAGGAAGGAGTGAATTTGCTCACGGGGGGAGCGAGTCAGGGCCCACAGGGCGCATCAGCGGGCTTGGATGCACTGAGATGAGGAAGTACCGGCAGTGAGGTGTGCGTCTGTGACGCACTCACAACTTGGACTTTCTCAGACAAGAATCCAACAACCTTACCCTTGGCCTGGTTCCTTTTGTTAAGAAGAAAACCAACAGTGTGTGTGTCAAGAAACAGCAAGCTTCTTTGCCAAGAATCTGTTAGAGCCCTGACCGGATGGCTCAGTTGGTTAGGCATCGTGGGTTCGGTTCCCGGTCCGGGCACATGCCTGGGTTGCAGGTTTAGTCCCCAGTCGGGGTGCATGCGAGAGGCAACAGTGGATGTCTCTCTGTCTCCCCTTTCCTCTCGCTAAAAATAAACTAAAGTCTAAAAAAAACCCAGAAACCAAAAAAAAATCTATTTGGACACTATTAGCAGAGAAGAATATTGCGGGAGCGCTTCCCTCGACCCCCAGGAGCATGTTCTCACAAAACATGCCAAGCCTACTCAGGGCAGGTTGACGGAAGTACCTGGCTCAGGGACCCCGGGGCTGTCTGCAGTGAGAAAATGCCGCCTCCCATACGTGCAGGTGAAAAATACCAGGTGCTGAAAAGGCAGCTGGACTGTGCCAGTTGCTCCTGGAGGCAGGGTGCAAACCGCTTCGTTAGCAGAACCTGATGAAAATTAATTTGAATAAATTTGTGCCTGGGTGGTGGGGTGGAGTAAGTATCAACCTGGGGTCCTTCAGAGAGAAACAGGTGGTTTTCTGGGTGGTGCGCCGCCAGGTCTGGGTGCTTCAATTCTTCCTTTACCCCGCAGAAGACAAAACGGCAAACGCCGAGGCCCAGGCAGCCCCGGGTGGATCCCAGCAGGCTCCAGATGGCACGCAGCGCCCTGCCGGACACCCGTCGGCAGCCACGGGCCAGGGGGCCGCCAGCAAATGCCCATTCCTGGCAGCCCAGATGAGCCAGCGGGGCAGCAGCGTGGTCCGCGAAGCCAGCCTGGAGCTGCAGGAAGACGTGCAGGAGATGCGCGCCGTGAGGGAAGGTAACAGACGGTTCGGCCCCGGAGCGGAAGACTTCCTCTTGGCTCTTGTGGACCCCAGAGTATTTACAAGCTGCTATTAGGGTAGCTTTTGTGTAAACAGCTTCCTCTTTGAGAGCCAAGGAGGCAGGTAGTAAGACAGATATTTGGAGGAATGCATTGCGCAATGGGGACTTTCTCTGTTGTGAGTATACGTGTGACCAGCTTTTCCAGTAACCGCCTGGTTTCTCTAAACATCCTTCGGGCACAAGCTGGTCCTAGCTCCCCTTTGTATCCCTCCCATCATCTAGTGGGGCAGAAGGGAAAAGGCAGTGTCCTGCACTGAGTGACGGTCTCAGGACTCCCCAGCCGTGTACGGAGTGGCAACCTTAATAACCCAGTGCAGCTGCCCCCCTGGACACTGAGGGCCCCTGGAAAACGTCACTAGCAGAAATGGTGCCTTTGGCTGGGATTGTTTTCTGTGATGAAAACTGAGATTAGAATTGGGAGTGAGATGGGCTGGGCTGGGGAAGGCTTGCAAACCCGCTAGGGAGCTGCGGACGTCAGTGTTCATTACAGCTGGCGGAGACCCTGCCTCTGGCCGCCCGGTAACTGAGAGGGAGGAAGAGACACTTCCTACACTCGGGCGCAGCTGGCTGAGGTCCTGGTGGGCTTGGCCAGCGTTTGTGGCGACGAGCCTGGGAGGTGCTGTGAACTCAGAAGAGAATGCTGGTCCCCTTTGTCTCTTGTTGGTTGTGATGCAGAGGTTGCCCAAACCTCAGTGAACCCCAGCGTGATCAGCGTGAAGACCGATGGAGGAGAGCCGAGTGGTTTGTTGAAGAACTTCCAGGACATCATGCGAAAGCAGAGACCAGAGAGAGTGTCCCATCTGCTCCAGGATAACTTGCCAAAGTGTAAGTCCCACTGCTGTTTGCCTGGTGAGAAGAGAGTTTAGAACTTAAACAAGCATCAGATTGAACATCGAGTTGCATGAGGGATGTGGGTTAAAAGGCACGTCCCTTGCTCGATGCCAGCAGGTGCTCTGGGCAGACTGAACCCAGGCCCTGCTGGTTTCCTGCCTTCTCTCCCCTAACACCTGCCACTGCTGCTGGCACTGCAGTGACCTCTTGACATTCTGGGTCTCAGGATGAGGACACACAGGAACTGTGCCCAGTCGCTGAGCAGATGAGCAGGGATGGGAACCCCGGTCTCTTGCCAAAGCCCAGATGCGTTCCTCCTGACCGCTGCTGTGCTGTGTTTTGTTTCCTTTTCAGCTGTTTCCACTTTCCAGTATGACCGTTTCTTTGAGAAGAAAATTGATGAGAAAAAAAACGACCATACCTACCGAGTGTTCAAAACCGTGAACCGCAGGGCGCATCTGTTCCCCATGGCAGACAACTACTCGGACTCACTCATCAGCAAGAAGCAGGTGTCCGTCTGGTGCAGCAATGACTACCTGGGGATGAGCCGCCACCCGCGGGTGTGCGGGGCGGTCATGTAAGTGGCCCCCAGCTTTCGGACCCCGTTGCGGTTCTCGGCAGGACGCTGGGGATGGACAGGGACTGGATCTGTTGTGGGCGGGCATCTGCAGCCAGAGCAAAGTACTGTCTGTAGCCTGGAAAAGTGGCTGCAGGTGCCTTTTAAAGAAACCTAATGCGCAAGCAGTTGGGGGGCCCAAGGTTCAAGTTTGCGGGTACATCACACGTCCACTTCCTGCCACTCGGCGCGAACAAGTGAGCCTTTCACATTAGGCAGCTTCGACTGTGGCCGCGGGTGGAGGAACGCAGGCCCAGCAGCGCCGGGCAGGGGGTCGCCTCCTTCGTGCCCTGCGGGCGAGGGTTGCTCACCAAACTCTCCAAGGGGGCTTGAAGAAGAGGTCCCTGTCTGGGGTTTAGTGATGCATCTGCCCTGACGTCATGTGGCTGGTTGGCAGAGGCTTCGGGTGGCCACCATCCAGGATGCGTCTGTGGAGACAGATGTGTTAGTGGAGAGGATGTTTGCCAGAGGCAAGAAACCTGAGCACATTAACTCAGCTAGTACTAAGTACTCAGGTCACTGCTACATGAGCACTTGACATCCCCTGGTGGCATCGTTGCCTGTGTTGCGACCCCCTCCCTTCTCTAAAGGTGAAGGTAGTTGACAGTTCTGGCTGCAGACCGGGCAGTGAGTGAGCCCCTGGGCCCCCAGAAGTCTCGGGCTCCCGGATCCCTGGGGGGGAAGGTGGTTTGCACGACGTTCACACCGCACATGAGGCTTGTCTCCTCTCCGCCGTTCTCTCAGGGACACTTTGAAGCAGCACGGTGCTGGAGCCGGCGGTACTAGAAACATTTCTGGGACCAGCAAGTTCCACGTGGACCTGGAACGGGAGCTGGCCGACCTCCATGGGAAGGACGCGGCCCTCTTGTTCTCCTCGTGCTTCGTGGCCAACGACTCTACCCTCTTCACTCTGGCCAGGATGATGCCAGGTAAGGGGCCTGCGCCGGGGGCCCGGGACAGAAGCCCCCGGTTTCTCCTACCCGTGGTCAGCGCGGTCCGGAAACATTGCACAGGAAATGCCAGAAATAAATAACTCGCATTTTGAATTGCATGCTGTTGTGGGTTGTGGGATGAACTCTCCCAAGTCCCGCTCGGACTCACACGGGACGAGATGCATCCCTTTGTCCTGAGTCCCCACTGTGGACCTGCCGGTCCGTCAGTCACTATCTCAGTCACCGGATCACCTGTCAAGACGTCCCAGTGCTTGTGCTGGAGTCACCCTTACTGATGACGGCACCGTGCGCCAGACGGGGGGTGCTGGCCCTGAGCCAGGCCAAAGAGAAGCTGCAGGCACTTCCTTTAACCGAAGAAGTACAAGTTCTTAACTGAAGAAAAGCAGGTGTATGCTGAGGTGGCGGAGGTCCACAGTAGGAGTCCTCCGTCTGTGGGGTGGTCTGATTTTTGTCAGACCCCCTTGTAGGTAGGTACGTGCGGGAAAACACTCCGTGGGGTCAGCACTGTCCGCCGTTGTTTCAGGCACCCACTGGGGGTCTTGGACTAGGCCCCCTTCGGAGAACGGGGCTGACGTGAGAGGAATAGTGACAACGGAGGAGGTTCACCAGAAACGCTCAGTGAGGCAGAGGCGTGTCCAGCAGCCGTTGTTCCTGGGCCGCGAGTGCGTGCCACCTGCTTGTCCTCAGGCCCAGTGGGATGTGACCCCGGACAAGGGTTGCTTTGGAAGTTTCAACCCAGTGGCTTTCGATGTGCTGTGTGCTCTACGAGAGTCTCGTGGAGAGCTCCTCTCATCGCCTGTGGTTGTCTTTTGCCTAAGTTGGAGCGAGGCGGCCAGGTTTGAGAGCAGATGGAGCCCTGGCTGGTGTGGCTCAGTGGACTGAGCACCAACCTGCAAACTAAAGGGCCACTGGTTCGATTCCCAGTCAGGGCACATGACTGGGTTGTGGGCCGGGTCCCCAGCAGGGGACGTGCAAGAGGCAACACGTTGATGTTTCTCTCCCTCTCTTTCTCCCTCCCTCTCTCTGAAAATAAATAAAGTCTTTGAAACAAGAGAGAGCAGGTGGAGAGCCTCCTGCAGGGCCCGGGCCTGCTTGCTGGTCACCTGGCCAGAAGGGACCTGGAGCGTGGTGGCTTTCCCGAGGGGGCAAAGGCAGCGGAGGCCGTTGTCCTCGGCTGCCTAGGAAGCAGGTTGCCTGAGGTACAGAGGGCAGCAAACGCCACTGCTGTCATTCCAGGCTGTGAGATCTACTCGGACTCCGGGAACCACGCCTCCATGATCCAGGGCATCCGGAACAGCCGCGTGCCAAAGTACGTCTTCCGCCACAATGACGTGGGCCACCTCAGGGAGCTGCTGCAGAGGTCCGACCCCGCAGTCCCCAAGATCGTGGCCTTTGAGACCGTCCACTCAATGGATGGTGAGTCCGGGTGGAGGCCAGCTTGAAGCTGGAGTGAAACACTGGGCCCTTTACAGATGTGTTTTTGGCTTCGCAGTTTCTTTTCTTTCAATCGTTTGCTAGGATTTTGTAGTTGGTGGACAGTGATAGGTTTGGGTAAAGGTAGGTTTTCCACTCTGGCTTCTACTTGGCTCTAAGGCTCCAGGATCATCTAGAAACTGGGGGAGTTCATTCCCCCCCCAGTAGGAAAGATAAGGTGTGGAGGCTCGGTCCTTGCTGAGCTTTCCCTGGAGCGGAGCCTGGCGAGGCGCCAGCCCCCCAGAGTGGCCGTGTCTGTCCTCAGGGGCGGTGTGCCCGCTGGAGGAGCTGTGCGACGTGGCCCATGAGTTCGGCGCCATCACCTTCGTGGACGAGGTCCATGCCGTGGGGCTGTACGGGGCCCGAGGTGGCGGGATCGGCGATCGGGACGGAGTCATGCCGAAGATGGACATCATCTCTGGAACACTCGGTATGTGTCCTCTGCATGTCCACACCGGACACTCACTCCACTGCCCCAGTGCGGCTACAGACGCGCAGGGCCAGCTGGGGCCAGGTGAGGGTACAGCGAGCCTAGGCCTTGTTTGGGGCAAGGGTTTGTGTTCTCGGAAGGGGTGGCTCAGCCCCACAGCACCCTTGCAGCCCCGGAGGCTTGGCTCCCAGAACCAAAGCGAGTCCCACTGCAGTGGCACCTGCGGCCCTCGGGGCCTGTCCCAACGGTGCTGCGTGGGAACCGATCTCCACAGCTCCTTGTCACTGAGAGGCAGGGTCTCTTGGGCTGGGCTCGGGGCCGCACTGCCCGCGGGGTATGAGCGCTGCCCGCCGCACTCACTTGCTCGTGACCTCGGGCTGGCCGCTCCCCGGTCTGCTGCACGCAGGCTCCGCAGCAGCGGTGACAACAGCACTAACCTCCACTTTTGTGGAGAGTGAAGGAGTCATGTGGAGACAGCTCCTGTCCACGTTCTCTCCACTTACGGGACCCAAAAGAGATGAAGATGCAGAGAGTACAGATTCGGGATTTCAAGTTAGTCAGGCAGTTGGAGACCCGCGAGGCAGCTGGTGAAGGAAGGGCAGGTGGGAGAGCGCGCTCTTCAGCACTGGCGCGGGGCGGGTGGACTGGAGGGCCGGGGTCCCAGGCCAGGGCCCCCGTGTGAGGAAGCCCTCGTCCACGGGTCTGGGCCCCAGCGGCTGTCATCTTGCAGTGAGCTCTTGTGACCTGGGCCCTGACAATGCAGGGCCATCAGGGAAGGAGGAGGCTGGAGAGGAATTTCCCGCCCAGCCCTGCACGGGGTGGGGGGGGGGGGGGACCTGCAAGGTCAAGGACAGCACAGGTCTGTCACTGGTCTCAGAGGCTCTGGAGTCCCCGGCCCTGACACCTGAGATACAGATTTGAAAAGGGGCTTAAGGACTGAAAAGCAAGGCCGGCCCTGAACTCACCTGAACAGGTTCAGAGGCTTCCCACTGGTCTGGCAAGTGCTACTCGTCAGAGTTCTGTGTTTACTTGAGCAGGAAACAGCACGGCCCCACCAAATGGTTAAGTGGCTCCCTTGGGTGACAGTCCGGGCCCCAGGGTGACACTCGCAGTGAGAGGCGAGTCCCAGGAGCGCACACTTAGGGCCAGGCTGGGGCCGCCAGCCGAGTGGGGAGGCTGCTGCCGTGCTCAGGCTCCTGGGACCAGACGCCCGCTCGGCTGTGGGCTCTGGGTGAGACCCTTTCACAAGCTTCCTCAGTCTTCCCCTTTCCGAGATGGGGGACGTCCTTCTTCAGTCTTAGGGTGGATTAAGGAGACAGAGAAGGACGTGCCTTGAGCCCCTGGGGCACTGCAGGGCTGAGTGGCCGCTGCGTCCTGAGCCGCTGCCTGCTCTGCTCCCAGGCAAAGCCTTCGGCTGCGTGGGCGGCTACATCGCCAGCACCAGCGCGCTGGTCGACACCGTGCGCTCCTACGCGGCCGGCTTCATCTTCACCACCTCCCTGCCGCCCATGCTGCTGGCTGGGGCCCTGGAGTCTGTGCGGATCCTCAAGAGCCCGGAGGGGCGGGCGCTGCGCCGCCAGCACCAGCGCAACGTCAAGCTCCTGCGGCAGATGCTCATGGACGCCGGCCTCCCCGTGGTGCACTGCCCCAGTCACATCATCCCCGTCCGGGTGAGAGCCGCTCGGGGCCGGGCCCTCTGTCGGGGCCGTGGCACGGGAGCCCAGCGGGCTGCAGCGGGGCCCCTCCCCAGGGTTTGTGTCTGGAGAGCTGAGGAAGCCGGCCTGTGGCCCACTTCCACGTGTGGCTTCCTACTCGGTCGTTTTGAAGTAGCCCCAGTCTCACGCAGCGGCCAGACAGCCCCTGCATCCCCGAGGGTCCAGGCTGGCTGGTGTCAGCTGTGGTCCCTGTGCCACTGCGGTGCCCACAGGAGCCTGGGCAGCCGACTCCAGAAATCTTCTCTCGTGGCTTGGGCTCCTTGTCTGCTCGGGCAGCGCCTCTTCCTGTCCCCAGGCCTGTGTGCTCCGGCCGGAGCCGCCCCTCCCCTCGCTGAGCAGTCCCTCAGCCTCCCCCCTCAGAGGTGGTCTGTCCTGCTCTGGCCTGACTCTCTGTCATCTTCAAACCCAGGTGGCAGATGCTGCTAAAAACACAGAAATCTGTGACGAGCTCATGAGCAGACACAACATCTACGTCCAAGCCATCAATTACCCTACAGTGCCGCGGGGGGAGGAGCTGCTGCGGATCGCCCCCACCCCGCACCACACCCCGCAGATGATGGACTACTTCCTAGGTGAGTGCCGGCAGCCACGCAGAGCCATCCCGTCACCGGGAGTGCTCTCGGGTTGCACAACTCAATGCTACTTCGGTGACAGCTTCACCGTCAGAGGCTGCAGGGTCACCAGAGAAGCCCTGTGGTAGCCCGCCATGCCACCCACTGCGCCAGTGCCCCTTGTCGGTGACTCAGGACGCACTGGGACCACCACTCTGGGGAGCAGAGGGCGGCCTCCGAGTGCAACCTCGCTCTCCTCTCTCCCCCTGCCATGCGTGGTCCCTGAACCAGCCCCCCACCCGGCCCCTTCTGCTGGGGTGGGGACCTGGGCACGCTGTGTGGAGGCCGTGTGGTTTGAGGCCTAGGAGTCGTTCGTTTCTGGAGTTTCCCGTTCAGTACTTTCAGGCCACGCTGACCGCAGGCAGTGAACGGCGGGTGGGGGCTGCTGTCCACCCGGTTGCGCCATCTCCATTGCCTGGTGCCAGTCGTGCCGTCGGCAGCCACTCCCCAGTCTCTCCTCCGGTGCCACCGGCCCCGTGGGACCCGCGGCGTGTGGCCCGTGGCCCTGCCTGGCTGCGCTCACAGCCATGCTCTCCGGGGCTGCCCAGGCTGTAGCGGGACCCATGCTTCCTCCCTCTCAGCGCCAGTCTTCCTCGGCTCCAATGCCCCCCAGTGGGTGGATGTTGGGGTTCCCACTTTTCTTTCTTTAGGATTTTATTTAATTTTAGAGGTGGGGAAGGGAAGGAGAAAAAGAGGGAAAAAAACATCACCGTGTGGTTGCCTTTTGAGGGCTCCCCATTGGGGACCTGGCTCACGACCTAGGCATGTGCCCTGACCGGGAATCGAACCAGAGACCTTTCAGTTCACAGGCCACTGAGAACACGCCCTTTTTCACTGCTAGGAAAATAATGGTCAAGGTTCGGGGCGGACGTTGTCATTCCTCTTGGATGTACGTTCCCTCTAATCTCTTGCCGCTTGGCCCTCACAGAGAACCTGCTGGCCACCTGGAAGCGAGTGGGGCTGCAGCTGAAGCCGCATTCCTCGGCCGAGTGCAACTTCTGCCGGAGGCCGCTGCACTTCGAAGCCATGAGCGAGCGGGAGCGAGCCTTCTTCTCCGGCATGAGCAAGCTGGTCTCCGCTCAGGCCTGAGCACGCGTGGCCTCGGCCACCCGCCTGTCCCCCACCCTGTTGTACCCACAGAGTCTCCAGGAGTGTCTCTGTGGGTTAAATTATATTAAATTTTAATGTATAGCAAAAGCATGGTTCTACAGAAAAACTCGTTTAAGGGGTGCATCCTCCTGTGTTTCGCTGCCAAACCAGAAAGTCCTTCTCTTCATCCCTTTACGTTCGGTCTGTGTCGCTGAGATGGATACAGCGTTTGAAAGTGCCCTGGCCCTTGGGTAACGGCTTCAAACCCTGGGGGACGGCAGGCCTCCTGCTGTGCCCGGATGATGCCGGCTGCACCTGGAGGCGCGCAGCCACCAGAGCCACCTGGGCTCTGACAGTAGTCACTGCCGCAGCGGAGGCTGGGTTCGCTTTCTGTTCACTTGCCTGCAATCCCCACCATGCGCACGACACCCCCCGGGCCGTGCTGCAGCTGCCTGCTTCCCTTCCCTTCCTTTCCCAGCTGCTGCCTCAGCCTCACACTTCCCCGAAAGAGCTGAGCCGCCAGCCACCTGTGCCTGCCCTGCCAGGACCACCTCGTCCTCACAGGACAGCAGGAGGGCATGTGCTCCCCGCCCCCTGGACCCCTTCCCCCAGGTCCTGGCTGCCCCGCCACTTGCACATTCCTGCCGCTTGCTCCTCCGTCACAGGTATCTCCACTGCAGCCCCAGTGGCCTGCAGCAGGATCTGTCACTCGCCTCAAAAGTAACCGAGCCTGAGTGCCCTTTAATGAATGAGTGGGTGAAGATAGGGCACATGTATGCAGTGGAGTATTACTTGGCCGTGAAAAAGGAAAGGGCTGCTTGCAGCAAGGTGGATCTTGAGCACATCAGGGTCAGTAAGGTCAGACAGAGATGCCAACTCTGTGACCTTGCTCACCCAAGGGGTAAAGTAACAGAAACTAGATGACAGTGTGGTTATCGGAGGGCAGGGGCTGGGGGCAGGTGAAGAGGGTGAAGGTGAAGGGTCAAATACAGGGTGACAGGAGGGGCTAAGACCTCAGGTGCGGAGCACAAAATGGGGTGTGTTACACAGTTTTATGTACACCAGAAATTCATATAACGTTACCACCATTAACACCAATCAATGCCTTTAAAAAGGAAAAAAGGTCTCCCTCAGTCCCCTCCTGGCTGCCGCTCGGCCCCTCTCTGCTGGTCCCTGACCCCTGTGGAAACTCGGACACTCTGCCTGTGGCCAGTGCTGTGGGCTGCCCGCCCCCGGCCTCTGCACAGCTCTCCCTGTGCGCTCCCGGCTGCCTTGCACCGATTCCCAGTTATGGCCGTGCCTAGCCCGGGTCCTCCGTCCAGCTTCGCGGCACTGTCTGCCGACCACCACCCCGGGCCGCTCAGGTGCAGCGGGTCGGCTGCTCCTCCCTGTCTCGCCACCACCCACCCATCGCTCGGGCCTCCCGATGGGAGTCAGCTGTCGGCCCTCACACGGACCCGTTAGCCAGTCCTGAAAGTCCTACCTAGAGCGTAACCTCGAGCCAGGCCACCTCCTGTCTCCCCCACGGCGACCATCCGTCCACTCATCCTGCCTCCCTCCTGGTCGCTGCCCCAGCCTCAACCCTACGTGGCACCTGGGAGCTTTCCTTTTCTTTTCAAAGATTTTATTTATTTCTAGAGAGGGGAAGGAAGGAGGAAAGAAACAGCAATGTGTGGTTGCCTCTTGCACGCCCCCTAGTGGGGACCTGGCCCGAAACCCAGAATGTGCCCTGACAGAATCAAACCAGCGACCTTTTGGTTTGCAGGCCGGCACTCAGTCCACTGAGCCAGACCAGCCAGGGCTAGGAGCTTTTAAAAACATAAGTCACAGCACTCATATTTTCTGCACCCCTGCAGAAAACGGTCCTGGGTTCTCTAGTTGCAATCAGGTTCAATGCCAGATTCCTCCCCCCACAGCTGACGGGGTTCGCTGGGCTTGCCATCCCACCTCCATTTCTCTCTCCACTTCACATGTTGGTGTGCACCCCTGGACCTCGAAAACCCCAGGAGGATCCTGGCCCCCAGGCCTCGGAGGCGGCCACTGTCCCTCTGCCTGGTTCTCCCACCTTGGGCCGCCTCTCCTGATACAGGACAAGGGGCCCTGCGGAGACCCTGCCCAAGCCCCTGGCCAAGGCAGCCCCTCCTGGGGTCTCACCAGCATTCGACCCCCAACCATCCATGGTGCCCTGCAAAGCCCGGTCACCGTCACAGTGACCCTTCCCTGCTGCCCATCTGCCCCTTTCTCCTCACTTCTGCAGCCCCCGTGGCCAGCACAAACCCAACACACAGGAGGCTCTGGGCCTGTGTGTGCTGGGTGAATGGAAGGGACTGTTCCAGCCCAGGCTGCCATCATGGACCCCAGAGACCCCACGGACAGACATCCACTGCTCACAGTTCTGCAGGCTGGGGCCCCAGGGCCGGCTGACCGGGCGCCTGGCGAGGGCCCTTCCCGGTCCGTAGGCCGCTGCTTCTCGCCGCGGAGCGAAGTCACGTGACCTTTTCCTCAGACCTCGGTTTTCCTCTTCTCATGAGTCTGCCAATTAAAGTCCCACCCCCTGACCTGACCCAAACCTACTGTACATCCCAAAGGTCTCAATGCCATCGTGTCGGGGATGGGGCTCCCACAGACAAATCTGGGGGGCACGGCCCGTGACAGGGCCGATGGCAGCATCTAAGCCTCGCTTACCAGAAGGAACAGTTGAGCTGGAGAAAAACCGAGCAGCTGGCGGACAGAGAGAACCCGCGGCCTGCTGCCCACTCTCAGCTCTAGAAAGGGCCGCTGTGCTGGGTCCCTGCCTGCGTCTGCCCTGCCCTGGACAGAGCTCGGTGGGGACTTGCTCCCATCACAAAGAGCCACACGTCCAGGCAGGCCACGCAGGCTGAGAGCCACCAAGGCTTCTTTCTGCTCTGGAAGCCAGCCTCACTCTGCTTCCCCCGCTGCTTCCTCCAGAGGGAGGTCTCTGGGCGTTTCCTCTCGGCGCTGCGCCTACAGCCCCTGGGCTCTTCCCCTTCCCACGGGCTTTGTCCTCTAGCCCAGCCACTTCTCCGGGGCTCAGTGAGACCCAGCTTCCTTCCCACGAGTGCGAGCCAGTGGGGTCCCCAGGTTATCAGCAGGACATTTCTCCTTACTGCCCCTGGGGGTTCCAGAGGGTGATGGGGGGCCTGTAGGAAGTGGTGGCCTTTGTGAATGGCTCAGCCTCTAAAAAGAACCCCTGCGTGACAAGGTGCGATGCTGTGGGAGTTTGCCAAGCACGTTTAGAAGCTGAGTGCATTACGTCAGGTGTCCTGAGGGGGAAAGGGTGTCATTTGCAATCCTCCCATTTGCTCTCGGGTTGCCCTAAGCCTCACACCCACACCTCGGGGAGTCTAGTACTCACTGCTCCCCAGTAGCAGAAAATCCGAGGCAACATCCGCGTCTCGGGGGCTGCCCAGCCCCACTCCGGCTTCGTGCACCTCGGAGGCACCACACCCTTCTTTGGTCCCAGTTCAGTTGCTCTGGGTGGGGTGCCTGGCTTGGGAGGAGCGCTCTGGAAGCAGCACCAGCTGACGGGCCTCAGTGCAAGCCCCTTACCTAATAGCGACGACCCAGGATCACCTGCTGCATTCTTCAGACCTTCACACTCCTCACCCGGAGTCCTTCTAACAACAGTGGCCAGCCCCATCTCCAGACGAGCAAAGCAAGCCTCCAAGTGGAGCGCTGCCTGCCCAAGCTAAGCCAGGTGGCAGAGCCATTACCCCAGGTCATCTGAGTCTCATCTCTTCCCATCCTGCAATGGTCATGGCTGAGTGTGGAGGAGAGGGCCCAGGGCCCACTGTGGGCACCTTTTCCCCTCTGGGCCCTCCAGCCCCCAGCCCAGCTCCCAGCTCCCTGCCCCCCTGCCCCCGCCTCTTTTAGGATACTCGAGGTCGGGGAGCTCTGGCCCTCCAAAAGCAGTAGACAAGAGCCCATGGTCCTACCACTGCCCCCATCTTTATCTCCAAAATGTTCTTCTGAATCTGCCGCCCCCCAGAGAGCCAGGCCTGTGCGTGTGAGTGGGGGTGGGGTACGGGACGGCAGCCTCCCCCAGCTGCTCCGAGAGGCAGGCAAATGGTGTTTCCCACACAGAGGGCCCTGCTTCCCGCTCCTCATCCCAGCCGTGGCCGGAACTCTCCCAGCGCTCAGAAGGGCGCTCCCTCAGACTGTGGCCTGGAGGACAGTTCTTGTTTTCTTCCTTCCCACACTGTCCACCCGAGGAAGGGCTCGGGACCACACCGAGACTTCTGTCTGCTCCTCCAGGAGACAGCTTGGCCCTGTCAGGACAGGACAGGGTCCACGTGGGGCTTCGGGTCGGTGGGTCGGAGACCCTCCTTCTGTCTTCTTTCAGGCAAGCAGACACCCGGGGACACCAGCCCACCGCAGGGGCCCCTGTGCCAAGTCAGAAAGAGGAAGGTGGCCACACGTCTCTCCCAGCTGTGAGGGCAGAGTGCACACCCCACCCCCACCCCACGCAGTGCTGCCCACAGTCAGTCTGCAAGATTAACAAGCCTGCAGACCCCCACCCCCACGTGGCCCTGACCAGCTGAGCTGCTCTGCACTGGCCTACCCAGGCCCTGGCTGGGGCGAGGTGTCTCTGCTCCTCTCTGGGCAGCTTAGGCTGTGGCGCAGCTGGCCCGTCGGGCCCACCCGCTGTTTCCCACAGACTTGTGGAGTACAGACCTGGACAGACTGTAGTCAGACTCGAGTCGTGGGGCTCCCAGTGTTGTCCCCAAGTCTAGCACACACATAGCCCTCCTGGTCCCGGGGGGCTGGGTCTCCCAAGCACAATCAGTCACGAGAGGCAGAGGCAGGGGCAGGGAAGGGGTGCCCCAGCTGTACCTCCAGGCAGAGGCTGGCCTGGGTGTCCCTTTGATGTCAGAGAAGAGACCCCGCACGTACTCTAGGTGAAGCAGAAAGGGGTGGATTTTGAGCTCATGCTGGAACCTTCCAGGGCTCCCCGGTCCCTGCTGCGGGAATATCCTGTTCAGCCTTCCTCTCCTGACCCCGGGACCACCCGTGCACACAGCACAGGTGTAGCCACCAGAGGGCGCAGTCACCCCACTGAACCTCGCAGGAAGCCTCCCCCGCAACTGGGGCCCGGGGCTTCACTGGGGGCTATGAATGAAGCAGGCACGCAGGTCCTCGGCCTTGAAGGCACTTTCAGCCTAGCAGGAGAAGGAGGAAGAGCCTGAGACCAACATACAACAGAGGGCAGCCTGGCACAGCCGAGGATACAGGGCAGGGTGAGAGGGGTGGGGCTGAAGGGGCAGGAGACCCAGCCTGCTCTCTGGGAAGACAGAGAGCAGTGACCTTCTGCAGCCGGCCCCCAGAACGCAGCTGCTGTGGGCGGCTTCCCTCTCCTGCGGACCCCAAATCGCCTCTAGTCCCACCTCACTGTGGGAAACCTGGAGAATTCTCCCTTCTTTGCTCCCACACATGCCCACAGGTGGGTGGAGGAGTAGCCGTGGGGGCTGCCAGTAGCATTTATTGAGTGCCTTCTGTATGCTTGGGGTGGGGGTGGGGGCCCCCCCAACAGCCCCTCTGTAGAGCGAGGCAGGTTGGGGTGTCCTGGGCAGAGGGCACGGTTGGGCGGGGCGGGGCGTGGGCAGCCCCCTGCGGCACTAGGCTGTCGTGGGTCCCCGGCAGAAATTCCGGTTGTAGAAGTGGCGGTTGTCCCTGGTCAGGGCCATGCCCAGCTGGGCCCAGAACATGCCCTGGCCGCTGGGCTGGTGGGGCCAGCGGAGGACGCTCCGGCGGCAGAGGCGCTGGCGGAGCCGCACGTAGCGGGAGCTGTGGGCGTTGGGGTTCAGGATCACCAGCACCACCACGTCCTTCTGGTCCTCCAGCAGGCGCTGCTGGGCCAGCAGGAAGCTGGCGCGCAAGAGGCCACTGACCCGGTCCGTGCGGTCCAGCACGAACAGCGTCTTGCGGCTGCTGTAGACCGAGGCCCACAGGTTTTCGAAGAGCGTCTTCCCGGGGAGCCAGTCCCGCTCCTCCAGACACAGGTGCAGTGCCTGGCGCCCGCGGTGCTCCTCCAGCTGCACCCGCAGCTCGTTGTACACCCAGTCCGCCACGGCGCCGTCCGACTTGTTGAAGACCACGAAGGCGTCGTAGTCCGGGGCGGCCGCGCCCAGGGTGCGCCTCCGCCGGGGCAGCCAGGCCAGGCCCAGGTAGAAGCAGTACCAGAGGTCCCAGCCGCACAGGTGCTTCAGCAGGGTGAAAGCCAGCACCAGGAGCACCAACAGTAGGCTGGCGCTGAAGCAGGCCCAGGAGAGGGCCTCGTCCAGGCACAGACGCAGGTCCTGCTCGAAGATGCTGCGACCGCGCAGCTGCATCGGGCTGCCGCACGTGACCTGGTTGGACAGCCCGGGCACAGCCTGCTGCACCTGCAGCAGGAAGTCCACGAAGACCGCCCCGCAGGCACAGTGCAGAGGGTTGCTCCTCACGTCCAGCACCCTCAGGGTGGCCACTTGGGAGCCAAACCAAGAGGGCTCCACAGTCTTGAGGGAGTTGGCGCTCAGGTTGACCACTTGCAGCCTCGTGGCTGGAGTGAAGAAGCCGAGGTCCACGAAGTTGATCCTGTTGCGGCTGACGTCCAGCTTCCGGAGTTGGGTGCGAGCAGGGAGGCTGCCGTTGGTCAGGGCCTTCAGCTGGTTCCCTGCCATGTCCAACACTTCCAGGTTGGGCAGCAGGGTCAGGCTGCTCCAGTTGAAGTACGCCAGGTAGTTGTCACGGAGACGCAGCAGCTGCAGGCTCTTGGGGAGGCTGCCCACGGTGTGCGGCAGGAAGGCGTGCAGGTGATTCTGGGACAGGTCCAGGCGGAGCAGCTGTGTCAGCTCCCGGAAGAAGTGGAGGTAGAAGTCTCCCTCCTTCCACATGAGGTTCAGGGAGTTGCCGCTGAAGTCCAGGGCCAACAGCGAGGCGCTGCAGAGCTGCGGGGACACGCGGCTGTAGATGGCGTTCTGCGCCAGGCTGAGGTAGCGCAGGTTGGGCAGCCGGGCCACGAAGCTGAGGTTGTGGCCCACGCCCTGCATGCTGAAGGACTCGCTGTTGTCGCTGAGGTCCAGGGCCTCCAGCTGGGGCAGCTCCGTGAACGAGCCCCCGTGGTACAGGTCCAGCTTGTTGTGGGACATGTCCAGCACCCGCAGGCTGCTCAGTGGCGTGAACTGGGAGCCATTGACCGCCTGTGAGATGCTGTTGTGACTCAGGCGCAGGCACTGCAGGTGCGACAGTCCGGCAAACATCTCGGAGTGGACGGTCAACAGGTTGTTCCGAGACAGATCCAAGGTGAAGTTGAAGGCCTTGCAGCTGGGCATGAAGTCCTCAGAGCCAGGGGCATCCAGGGGGCCTGGAGCGAGGCTCCTGGGCAACGGCCAAACCTCCTCCTCGGCACTGACCCCCACTGCGGAGGCCACCAACCCCTCCGACCCCGTTGGCCCCGCTGACCCCGCGGACCCGGTGATGCGGTTGTTGGACAGGTCCACCTGGCGCAGTTGTGGGAACTCCTGGAAGAGGCTGAGGTTGACCTGGTTGATGAAATTCATCTGGAGACTCAGGTTCTGCAGTGCGGGCAGGCGGGTCAGCGGCCAGAGCGTGCCGTTATCGAGTGAGCGGAAGAAGATGCCAGTCATGTCCAGCTGCCGCAAGGAGGTCAGGCTGCGGAAGGACTCTGCCAGCCACAGGTGGGCATAGGATATGCCCTTTTGGTAATTGAAGGACAGGTTGAGTTTGCGCAGCGTCGTCAGGTTCCGGAAGACCTTGGTTTTGGAGATGGATTTGTACAGAAAGTTCTCACTCAGGTCCAGCACGGAGAGGTTCTTCAGGTGGCTGAACCACCTGGCGTCCAGGGCGTAGAGAGAACTGTCACTCAGCACCAGGCCCTGCAGGTGTCTCAGGTGGCTGAATGTGTCGGGGTGCAGCTTGAGGGACTTGTAGGGGCACTCCACGCAGGGGTTGGGGGCGTGGTCGCACCGGCGGCAGTTTCCACCCACGTCCAGTACGCGTAGGGCGGTGAGGTTGGCCAGGTCCTTGGGCCCCAGGGAGGTGATGCGGTTGTAGGAGAGCAGCAGGGTCTGCAGGCTGGGGGGCAGGAGGCGGGGCACTGCTGTGAGGTTGTCGTACTTGAGTGACAGGTGGACAAGGTTGCGGAGGCCGAGGAGAGCGCCCGGGGCCATCCACATGGCCCGGCCGCAGGGGTTTTTGTAGTAGCAATTGCCGTCCATGTACAAGTGTCTCAGGATGTGCAGGCCCCTGAAGCTGGAGGGGTCGATGGCCAGGATGTTGGTGTGGCTCAGGGACAGGTTCCTGAGGGAGCTGGGCAGGGCGGGCACAGTGGTGATGTTGTTGTAGCTCAGGTTCAGGTCCTCCAGGGTGGGCATGGACAGGAAGGTGTTGGGCTCGATGGTCATGTGGCAAGCCCAGTGCATGATGCTGAGGCTGCTCGGCGGGCAGTTCCACTTGAGGTCGAGCCGCTTCAGACTGGACAGCGGGGCAAAGTCACCGTTGTGGAGGTGGCGGATGCGGTTGCAGCGCAAGGAAAGCTCGGTGATGTTGCCTTGGGGATCGGATGCCAAGAAGTGGGGCACGGACGTCAGGAACAGCCACGCGCAGTTGACTTTGTGGGGGGACTCAAGTTCACAGGGCAGGAAGGCAGGCAAGGGGCCTGGAGCCAGCGCCGTGGCCTGGACCAGGAGAAGCAGGGGGAGCAGGGCGCCAGGGCAGGGACCCTGTGGGGAGGGGGCGGTGAGTGGCAGTCCCAGCTCCATTCCCCCCAGCTCCTCCCCCACCCTCCCTCTTGCCTCTGCCCAGATCCCCCCCCACCTCCCCACCCTGGGGATCTGGACTTGGGTCTCAGACCCAGCCTTCCACGCACGACTGCATTCAAGACCTGGAAGCCAGACTTGCAACCTAGAGCTTTCCCTTGGAGCCAAACCCCAGCAGGACCAGAGAGCTGGGCAGGGGCCCCGCTGCTCCCCAGGCTCCCCTCTATGTCCCCCTTCCCTTCCTCAGCCATCTCTCTTCTCTCCTGAGCAAGGAGCCATCTCTGCTGACCCTCACCACCCACTACTCCCCAACACCTCCCTCTCCCTTTGGCCAAGACCCAGGCGGGAGCGAGGGTCTCCTGCTGGGGTCCAGGCTGCGGCCACCCAGGGCAGGTGCTGCCCAGGAGCATTGGACCTGCTGTGAATCAGAACAGATCGGAGGGCGGGATGGGCAGCAAAGGGACAGACGAAGCCCAGGCCTGGGCACCTGGGCTCACCTTGGGCCACCACTAGGAGCCCTAGCCTCAGCCTCCTCATCCATGCAATGGGTTGTGCCTCCTGCCCCTCAGAGAAGGGCTTCTGTTCTGGTTGGGGAGTGTCATTTTCCCAGAGCCACGTGGGTGACTGCCCTTTCCACTACTGTCTGCAGCCACCAAGCCCACCTTTCTTCCCAACGCCCCCAGGCTGTCCCCTCCCCTGGGGGGCTCAGGGCAGCCGTCCTACCATGATAAGGAGTGGGGGCTTCTCTAGAGGGTCTTGCTTGTGCGTGCGAGGTCCCTTCTCACAGTGATGTCTTGCAGAACAAAGGAAGTGAGAATTTCACAACCGAGTAGCCCCCTCCCTGCCCAGGCTGGGGGAGGGACTGCGCCATGAGTCAGAAGTCGTTTGCATAGTCAGATGGCAGACCGAGGGCCCCTCAGCTCCTTCCTCTTTCACTACCCCTCAGCCTCCCGCCCCTGCCCAGCTGTCCCAGGTCCTGTCCCAGCCGGGCCACACGTCCCTGCTGGGCCTCGCACCTGCCCTCTGGGAATTCGAAGACACAGAGGCCCAGAGCCCAGTGTGAGCTCACGAAAAATCGGGGTCGGGCACAGTGCCGGGCCTCAGCGGGGCTGCCCGCACCTGCGCCAGGGCCCTTCCACTCTCACTCCTGGGGTCCTCGGCTCCTGGCCCACGGGCAGTGTGCTCCGGCCCGCAGCTCCAGCCTGCACCTGGCTCCGGGTCTTCCCCGGCCCGGCAGCCCCGTCTCCAGAGCTGTCCGAGGCCTGCGCAGCCCGGGACAGGTAGCGCTGGCCAACTGAAGCTGCACCTGCCTCCGCCAGAGCCCAACACTCCCCATGCGGCAGGGCCTCCCCTCTGGTCCCCAACGACCTGGTGTGGCCAGAGCACAGACCCCAGGCTGGGCCAGCTGGGGCGTCTGGCTCGTCCTCCCCCTGGGCTCTTCCCTGCTCTCAGGCTCTAACCGGGGGTTGGGGGGGGCGGGCGGGGCCAAGCTCCCCTGCATGTCCCATGGCTCCACTTCCAGATCTGCCCAGCAGCTGCCCGTCGCCCTCTGTCCTCATGTCCACCAGCCTGGTGGTCAGAGCCACCTTGTCTCCGGCCAAGACCAATGCCGTTGCCACACCCTTGCGGCTGGCCTGCCTCTGTGTTCATGCCCTATGGCCTATTCCCATGTGGCCCCTAAGTCACATGAGGTCCCTCCTCTGCGCAGACCCCTCCATGGCCCTTTCTGCACTCGAAGTCACAGGGTCCCCTAGGACATGTCCTCCCAATGCCGCCCTGACCGGTCGCCAGCCATGCTGGCCTCCTGGCGCAGCGCCTGCGTGCCCGTGCCCTCTCCTGCCCCAGGGCCTTTGAACATACAGTAGCTCTTCTCTCAGATACTCCCAAGTCACCTCCCTTACACCTCTACTCGCAGACACTGCCCTCACCACGTGGGCTTCCCTGACCTTTCACAACCCTTCCTCCGGGGCCTCCCATTCCCCCGAGGCCCTCTTCTGGCTGCTCCTCTGTGTAGCTGGCGTTTTTTACCTACTAACACACCACATCCTTGCATTTCCGTGGTCTGTCATGTACTGTCTTTGTGTCCTGCTGGAGAGCCAGCCTCCTGAGGGCCAGGGTCTTTCCTGTCTGTACCCCAGGGCCCACCACAGCACCCAGCACTCTGGCGGTGCTCAGAGCTGGTCGAATCCACGGCTCTGTGGCACTCAGCTCAGGGCAGGTGCCGTATCCCTGAGCGATTATGCGTGAGCCAACAGATAGAGGGAGGCGGGGGTCGGGGGGAGCTGGGCGACTGGGTGGGGGTCACCACTCCAAGCTGCCAAGAATGCAGCAGGCTCCCAAGTCTAGGGGGTCAAATGGCAAAGTGGCAACTGCAGGGTCCTTCTGTCCACCTGGGGACCAGTGTTGGGGGCCCCCTTCTCTGGGTCCAGCTCTTGCTCTACACTTCCGGGGTCTGTAGCAGGGCCTGAGAAAGGTCCCAGGGTTGGGACAGGGACCTGAGCCCCAGCCCAGGACGTGCTCACAGGAGAAAGGACAGTGCCAGTGCCTGGTCAGCGGCTGAACCCCAGTCATCAACCCGGCACGCCCTCTCCCTGGCACACCTCCTGCTGAGTCCCAAGCCCCAAGGAGACTCTTCCAGAGTCCCTGGGACCGAAGACCCTGGCCCTCTGACCCTCTCCCACCCCCCCACAGCCACCCTGTCTGCCTCGGGGGCAGGAACGCAGGATCCCGAGAGGGATGTCTACTCACATGGACTGGACATCGCAGATGTCAGATGTCCATACACCCACCATGCCTCAGCCCCCAGAGGCTCAGAAGCCTGCCACGCAGAGCCACCCCAGTGTGGCAGGCCCCAGAGGCCCCCAGGGAGACCCTGCCCCACCCCCAGAGCTGTGCATGCAGCAGAAGGGACCGTGCAGGTGGGGACAGGATCTGAGAGGGGAGTCTCCTGTTTTGAAGACTGGCAGGGAGGTGGGGCTCTCTTGCTGCTGGAAAAGGCAAGAAAATGGGTTCTCCCAAGGCCTGCAGAGAAAACCAGCTTCTCCAGTGCCTGGGTTTTAGCACTGGGAAGCTCATTCCAGACTTATCAGAACTGTTAAGAGAATATGTTGGTGGTTTTTTTTTAGAGAGGAGAAGGGAAGGAGAAAGAGGGAGAAAACCATAAGTATTTGGTAGCCTCTTGCGCGCCCCCTACTGGGGACCTGGCCTAGACCCCAGGCATGTGGCCCAACTGGGAATTGAACCAGCAACCTTCTGTTTCACAGTCTGGTGCTCAATCCACTGAGCCACACCAACCAGGGTTGTTTGTGTTGGTTACAGCCAGTAAGTTTGGGGAACCTAGAGCTGCCACAGAGGCGGCCGGCCGCCCCCAGCCACAAGGGGACCTATCTCAGGCTCCGCCCTCTCCACACCTTCTGCCTCCCACTGCCCAAGCCGGAGGTGGTCCCTCGGAGCCAGACTTGTGTGTTGATTTAAAAATATTTTATTCTTTAAAAAATACAGCATTCAACCATCTCATCCTGCAGTGACCCCTGCTCCGCCCCAACTGACCCCACCCCTGTGGCCAAAGGCTTCCAGGCTGTGTGGGACCCTGGGCTCAGTTCCCTGGGAGCCGGTTCATGCCAGGCCCTTGAGACAGCCAGGCAGGGTCCCCAGACACCCTGGGCACACAGAGGCGACAGGCAGAGCCACAGGGAGGGTCACAAGTGCCGGCTCAGTGGCCCTCAGAAGCCGCATGAGTGATCAGCCACCAGCCCACCTGCCCCTCGAGAGGCAGCACAGATGCCCAAGCCGGGAAGGAGGGGGGGTGACAGGGAGCGGCCCCACACTCCCACACCAGCATGACTCAGGCCCCGCCTCCTAGCTGTCGTCCCCGTTCTCGCCGGGGCCCCGGATGAGGCGCTTGTGGCCCCGCTTGCCGCCTGGGCCCTTGGGCTTGGCGAAGGCCTGCTTGAAGGCCTGCTGCTTGGGGTGCACCTCGTCGTACAGGAAGTCAGCCGTCAGCTCCGTCCCGTCCCCGATCTCAATCTGTGCGGGGCCGGGGCACACGCGGCCTTGGTTACCCCCACTCCTGGGCCACACTCCCTTGACCTTGCACGCCCCAGCCCGGCGAGCCCCACCTGGAAGGCCACCTCCAGGCCCTGTGCCCCTTGGTCACCTCTGCGCCCCGGACCCGGGGACGGGAGACGTGGTGCCGGGACTAGGGCTTGTCCGGGACAGCAGTCAGCGGGGCGGCCTCGGACAACGCATGTCAGCCCTGGGGCCTCAGTATCCCCGCCCATCCAACAGGTGGCAGCCCATCCGGGGACCCCCGCCTCCCACGCTGAGGGCAGGTGGCAGGGCCCGGGGAGGGGAAGGGGCGCCCACCTTCTTGGAGATCTCCAGCTGGAAGTCCTGCTCCACAGAGTCCAGGAGGCGGCTCTTGCAGCTGGAGTAGAGCATGCGCTCCCGGATGCTGCACTTGTACCCCGGCATCGAGTAGATGAACACTGAGGGTGGAGCGTGGGGGTGAGCGGGCTGGCCTGCCGCGGCAGCGCAGCCCCGTATCAGCCCTGCCCTGCGGTCCCTGCTGCAGCCACTCACCCACAGACTCGAGTGGGTCGCCCTCATGGGTGTGTCTGTAGAGGAAGAAGTGGTAGCGGGCGGCTTCTCGGGGCACCCTCGAGGGCAGCTGGGCCACGTCCGTGGGCTCCGTGTGCACCAGCTCGATCGTCTCCCGCTCCAGGTCCAGCTTCTGCCAGGGGGCAGGGGCGGGTCAGGGCGCCGAGACCAGGGGGGTGCCAGCCCCAACTCAGCCACTCTGAGAGCTCTGCTGGAGCCCACCGAGGGCTGTGGGCAGGACAGTGGGAAGGGCCTTGGCCTCAGGGAGACACCGCCACTGGGCCAGCCCACCCTCGGACACGAGGCCTTGCAGGGGGGGTGGAGATGTGTCTTAGGAAGGAGGAGACATTCTGCTTGAGAGGGAGCAGCGTGGATGCTGGGGCAGAGGGCCCTGTGGGGACAGAGAGTCAGGAGGCTGCAGACAGCATCTGGGACAGGAGGGGCTCAGAGCGGAGGGGTCAGTAGATCCCGGGGTGAGCACGCATATGCAGTGTGGAAGGCAGACCAGGGGACAGTGGGCCACAGGCATCCCTGCACATGAGCAGAGACAGGGCAGGGGAACTGAGTACATCCATGATACAGGGCAGCTGCACCCTGAATGGGAACCGGAAGAGAGGGGGGTGGGGTGGACAGGTGCTCCCACCGGTACACAGGGGAGCTGCGGCGGACAGGCTGGGGGCACGTGTACACCTTTGCACACATGTGCGAGCAGGCGGGGTGGGGGCACACCCACCAGCTGGATGTAGTTGATCGTCTTCTGCTTGAGCTGCTGAAGCGCCCGCTGGGCCTCTGGCTGCAGCGGGAAGGCGAGGCCCTGCAGGGTCTGGTGCTTGCTCTCCACGCTGATCTCGGTCTTCACCTGGGGGCAGGGGAGCCCTGAGTAAGGCACTCACCTGCCCTCTGGAGCCCGCCCACCCAGGGAGCACAGGCCTGGCACCCCCCGGAGGGCCCTGGTTGGGACTCGCACCTACTCTCCCTGTACCCACCTCGTTGATGCGGATCTGCTGAAGCTCTCTCTCGGCCGAGGTCAGAGGGGCAGGCGCCGCACAGGACGACAGGTGCTTCTGGTAGCCGGCGAAGGAGAGGTCGTCCTGGCCGGCGGGCACAGAGGTGTAAACAGGCGCCTCGGGATGGACTGCCTGGAGCGCACTGAGCACCCCAGGCTGCAGCCCCGGGCCCTCCCCACGCACCCCCAAGCCCAGATGGAGCCCGCGGGCTCTGTGATCCCTGACCGCATGCTGTCCTCTGTGGGCCCGTTACCTTCACGGTCCCGAAGAGTTCGTCCTTCACGTGGCCGCCCCCAAACTCCTTCTTCACTGTGGCCCGGGTGGCTGCGTACAGCATCTTCAGCCGCACCTGGTGAGTGGGGGTCGAGCTGTGAGACCCCTCCAGGCAGGGCCGTCTCTCCAGCAGGCAGGAACCTCTGGGTGGGGTCAGGCCACCTCACTGTGCGGGTGCACCCGCAGAGGGCGCAGTACAGAGACGAGGAGGCAGTGGGGTGGTTTGGACAGCAGGGGGAGCCCTCAGCCAGCCCAACCTCCACCTCCCAAAGCAGGCTCACCAGCCAGGAGCCTTACAGGCCCCCCCAGGACCTTGCCCCTCAGGCTCCCTGCAGGGGGACCTGTTGTCTTGCTCAGACAGCTGCCCTTTCCCCAGATCTTGGGACTGGAGGGGGGGGAGGAGAGGGGGCGGGCTTCCAGGACTCACGGGGGAATTATCAGGTGACCAGGCGAGGAAGAGCCACTCGAAGCCCTGGGCGTTCTTCGAGTCCAGGCGGTAGAGCAGGTAGCAGGGCTGCTGGGCGTCCAGGAGCGGCAGCACAGCCCGGTCATAGTCCTGGTCCCAGCTGCCAACCGGCTCCCTCGATGCCCCCAGCACGAGCTGCTCTGGGGGCAGAGGCCGGGTGAGCCCAGGAGTGGCCACGGCCCACACCCACCCCCGACGGGCCCTCCCTCCTCTGGTGGTGGGTCAGGCCGCTGGGGAGCCCACAGCCCCCCGAGGGACGAGGCTGTGAGGCTGAATCAGTGGCGGAGTTCATGACTGACTGAGAGGAAAAGCTGGCAGCTGGAGGCCGATAACTACAAGGGCTCGGAGACGGCTGTGGGTCTGTGACCACGGTGACCCGGCCAAGACAACCACAGTCAAGCACCAACAGCGCGGCCCCTCACCGACACCCAGCCACCCACCCGCCAGCTTGCGGCCCCGTGCACAGCCCTGCTGTGCCACCTCCTGCCACCCCCGCCCCTGCAGCCCAGGGCTCCTACCCAGCACCGTACAAACAGAGATCCTGCTGCCTCCCACCAGCTGCCATCTGCTCCCCAAAAAGTAACAAATCAGACGTAGTCACCTCTCAAGGCCTAGCCAACTGGCCTGCCAGCCCCCTGGCTGGTGCCCAGGGTGCAGTGGGCCCATCAGCCTCGGCAGGGCACCAAACAGCAGCCCAGGGGCGCAGGCCGGAGGCAAAGCCACCCCACCTGGCCAGGGGTGGCCCCTGAGCATCAGGCCCTCCTGATGGGGGCGAGGAGACCCACCATGCCAGGTCCGAGGCCCAGCCGCCTCTCTGGAGGCTCCGCCCCCTCGCCTGCCCGTCCCAGCCCCCGTGGGGTCTGTATGGAAAACCGGCCGGCGCAGTCCGAGTCGGCCCCAACAGCACTGTCAACATGGTTTAACCCGGTGCCTACTTTTCCAACCGGGAAGTCTTACACAGGAAGTGGAATTCACAGCTTCTCTAGAAAAATCAGGAGGTCGGCCGCACTCACTCGGGGATGGGCCATGGCCAACCGTCAGGGGACCCAGACCCTCCCGGACACTCTCAGTTGCCCCAACAACCGTGTGCAGAGCTGAGACAGGTCGGAGCCCGCCCATAGCGCCCCCCTGCTCGGCATCTGCAGGGACACCCTGGCTGAGCAGGCCCTGCTTTGAGCCAGTTCGGTGCGCACCAAGCCCACTTGGGAGCCCCTGAAAAGCCCCTACTGTGTGGCTCCATGGAAGGGCTGGAAGGACTGGGGGGCCCACTTCCTGTCCCAGAGTCTGGCCCCTCGTCTCCAGGGGCAGGGGGTCCTCCACTCCTGCCCCCACAAAGCGCAGTCTAACCCTCGGCCCCTCCGAGCCCCCTCAGCTCAGACTCCTCCACCCAGCCCCTCCTCCTGCAGAAGCCCCAGGTCCCCGGAGGCCAAGGCCCAGACAAACCTAGAAGTCACCCATCTTCATATCAAAGGGATCTGGACATGAGTCCCTTCTCCCCACTGTGGGGGCACTTCTCAAGGGCAGGGCCCCGGTTTCTTAGGACACCCCCTGGCCAGTGGCTGAGCCAGTCGGGGCCTGCCAGCCCCACGGAGGTGAGAGGTGCTGACCACACGGGCAGTGCCCGGCTTAACATTCCCTGCCCCCTGCCCATCCCATCCCCGTCCCACACAGCCTCTGGGGGCCCAGGGCAGGACCTGGCCAGGCGTTCCCTTCCGTGCCCCCGGCTCAGCTTCCTGCTACTGAAGGCCACCTGCAGTGCTCTCCTACAAGGTCCCCCATCCCCAGATGGGGAAACTGAGGGCCTGAGGGGGCCGGAGGCCAGTGTCCCCCCACCCCCGAGAAGCAGCAGGGTTCATGCCCAGCCATCACCCCAGCCTGCAGGGGGCACTCACCGTCCTCAATGACGACTTTGATGAGCCTGATGGAGCCGGCCCGGGCCTTGGCAAAGAACTCCCTCAGCTCCTCGGTGGCTACGAGGACGAGAAACATGGTGGGGGTGAGTGGGAGGCGGGGGCAGGGTGGGCAGGGACACGTCCAGGGCCTGCTCCGTCCCGTGCAGCTGCGTGGCGGAGCTGGGAGCCGGGTTAAATGCAGCCCCCCATGTGACCAGGAATCTGAGACGCCACCGAACATAAGCTCCCAAATTTAGCCAGTAGAGGTGGCAGGCAAGTGGCCTGCTGGCTGGGGGCGGCTCTGGTGACAGGGCAGCGGGGATGGGACAGCCCGGCCGAGGAGGAGGAGGCGGGCTCTGGGACAGGCCAGGCCAGTCTGGGGTGGCCGAGATGGGCCGGGACCCACCCCAGACAGAGACACGTGAACAAACGCCCCCGGTGTGCCGGGGCCGCAGCGCCCATTAACACACGTGGGTGCACAGACATGCTACGTGTACAGGACACACTCAGCCCAGCGTGGCTGGACGTGGCACACCGACACGTGCAGGTGCCAGAGGAGGGCAGGAATGCAGATGTCCTCATCCATGAGCACATGCTCAGCGGGTCCAACGTGAATGGGCTCACACACTTAGACACGCACACACTCCCAGCCCAGTGCCATGCGTGCCACACACACACGAACAGGCAAGTGCAGAGCTTAGTGAAGACAGATTTGCAGGCAAAAGATGCACAGAGCACACACAACACAAAGAAGGGCACGAACACAGTTCTGCTGGGGGCAGCAAACTCCTGACCCCAGGCAGCTGGGAGGGCTTCCTGGAAGAGGAAGGACTCCTAGGAACTCCCCAAAACAGACCCTGTCTTGGTCCTTGGGCCAGAGCTGGACGGTGCCAGCCAATGAATGAGGACCAAGTACAGAGGTGAGGATCATAGTTAGAGCTAGGGAACCATGGGAAGTGACAGAGCCACTGAGGTTCAGATGGAGAAACCAAGGCCCGGGTAGGGAAGAGCCTAATGTGGCCTCTGGGCACACAGGGGCAGCCGGCACGACCTTGAGGGTTCCCAGGGGTTAGAGAATTCTGCAGGGACACAGTGGAAGGGCTGAGGTCAGAGAATATTTATAGGGCTCCAGCTCAGGGGCAGGGGGGCCTGTGGGAAACAGACTCTGGTCCTGTCCTCAGGTGCCCCTCCTGCAGGGTAACAACCCTGGGCCTGAGACCTCCACTGCAGGGTGGGCAGGGTCGCAGCTGAGCCCAAAGGTGCTTGGTACTCAGAGCACTGTGGCATGAGGACAGCCCCACTGGGCCCAGGCAGAACACACCCCCGCAGGTACCAGATGGAGACATGGCCTAGAGGCACCACCTTCCCCACAGTGGTGTGTGACCTGGACCTCACTAAGCTGCAAACTCCTCTCTAATGAGGAGCTCATGCTCCCCAGATGCAGAGGGCCGGGGGAGGGGTAGGTGGGAGAAGGGGCCTCTGCTAATCGTGCATTAGTTTTATTGCTGTACTGACCGCAGGGCAGGCTGTGCCGACTCGCTCCCCTACCTGCGCAGGCCTCCTGGGGTAAAAGGCCAAGCAACTCTCCCAAAGGAGAGGCTGATGTGCCCCTTCTAGTGTTACCAGGCGGTGACACCCCAGAAGGGGAAGCAACAACTCTCCAGGCCGACTCAGCAGCCACCATCAATAATCCAGAGGCCAGGCCTGGGACACCTGAGCCCAGGTCATTAAAGATTCATGCCCGCCCCCAACCCCATGAGCCTCAGGTTACAGGTCCCTCCCCTGCCCTGCTGTGAGGTCAGCAGTCACACCTGTGGCCAGGGCGGGGCTGGCACCTGGGAGTTCAGGGCAGTCTGTCTTCCCACGTCCCTGGGCCAGAGGAGTGGGCTGCTCACAGGCAGGTGGGGCGGCCCAGCCCCCGGGGTGCCGGAGGCAGGCCTGCCTCACCTTTTAGGAGAGGAGAGACTGAGGCAGGGTCCTGACTATGGGGTGCAGAGAGGACCCTAACTTCAAACCCCCTCCCAGCTGGAGGCCGCAGCAGTGGACAAAGGGGAAGGAAGGGACAGTGGGGACTGTTTCCTCCCAAGGGGCTGAGTCATGAGGCAGGCCCTCCCGCTCTTCCCCCGCCCCCCAGAGGCTGGTCCCCCGGTGGGTTGGGAGGCCCGCCCTGCCAGGGCTCAGGCCTTCTCTGGTACTGTGGGGCGGGGCTGGGGAAGCCCTCTCAGGGCTGCAGGGCCACCAAGCGGCCACAACCACAAGCCCAGATCCAGGTGGTCAGGCGGGTCGATGGTGGCCCGGGCTGTGGTGGGAAGGGTGGCTGACAGCCAAGCCACCGTGCTCTTCGGCCCAGCAGCGGGCACTTGCTGAACCGGCCAGCGGACAGGGACATAGGCCCAGGCAGGGTGGGGACACTTGGTTCCCGGCTACTGTTTCTCTCCCAGCCTAAGGACAAAACCGAGGCCCCTGGCAGGGGGTGATGCTCTGGTTTGTAGAAGAAGCTTGGGGTTGAGGGGAGCTGGCCTGGAGTCTCTAGGGCCAGGACCCTCTCCCACAGCCCCAGATCTAGACCCTCTTCTGTGTTCCCAACCTGGGACTGGAGCCCTCCGACTCTGGCTGGGGCAGACTCAGAAGATCGGAGTATAAAATAGGGGCAAAGGAGCAGACTGGAGGTCAAGGTCAGCCTGGCCACTCTCCCACTCTGAGGGCCCTGTCCCAGGTTTCCCCAGCTTGGCTTGCAGGAGTGTGTGAGGGTGCTTGGAGGAGCCAAAGGTCAAGGACCCCTCCGCAAACAGACATAAACCCATACAAGCCACACACAGACACAGCCGGTACACGCATCCATAGAAACAAATGCACACCAAGATGCACCCAAACTGAGAACACACACACAGACACCCACGGACGACTGCACACAGTCATGAAACATTGATGTCTGAAGGTGCTTCCATGTTACTGTGTCCATTCAATCGGCCGGAGTGCATGTGCACCCGGATGAGCACACGAACAGGACTGTACACACAGGACAAGTGTACATGCGTGCACACTTCCCCAGATGTGCGCATCCGGGTACACCCACCCCCAGAAAGGAACAAAAATCCATAGATGGGCATACACCAGCACCTCCACCCTTAGAAGGGCGCACAGAGCACAGGGGCTTCCGCCCCAGCTGTGCACGTACAAGTACACCCACTCCTGACTATGCACACTAAGTCCTCCTCCCCCCCACCCCCGCCAGATGTGCCCACCCCCGGCGACCCGCGGCTGCAAAACAGAACAAGAAGCCTCCCCGGGCTGGTGCCGGGGAGGAGACGGGAGCCGAGGGCTGGGAAGGGGCAGCAGCCGCGGGTGAAGACCCTGTGCCCCCTGGGCGCCCGTCACCCGCCCTCACCGTGGATGCCCGTCTGATGCGCCATGGCTCCGTGCCCTGCTCCGCCCGCGCCCTCGGAGCCCTCGGCTCGGCCCTGGCACCGCTCGCTGGCTCGGCCTCGGAGCAGGAGGAGGATGTGGCGGGGGCCGCCCAGCCTCGAGCAGCTTCCCGGGCGGGGTCGCAGGACCCGCCCCCAGCGCGCCCCGCCCCCACGGGCGCGGCCGGGAGGAGGCGGGACTTGGGGCCGCGCGTGCGCGCAGAGCGCTGCTTGTTCCGGGTGGGCGTCCGGCGGGGAGCGGGCGGGCGTGTCCCTGCGCCTGCGCGCGCGATAGTGGGGTTGATGGAGAAAGGGCCTTTTTGCTTGCGCGCGCGCGCGAGTCTGTGCCCTCGAGGCCAGGTGGGTTTGCAAGCCGGGTGGGATGCCCACGTACCCCCACTTGTAGCCTGGAAGGGGGTCCGCGTGTGGATGGGCGTGCAAGTGTTTGCGCAGCATCCTTTGCCCTGGAGACCTTGGCCGAGCCCTTCCTGCGGGGTAGTGGGCACCAGAGAGGCAGCCCCGCCCTGTCTCTGGGGGGCCCTCCTGACTCCCAAGCAGCCAGCCCCGCAGAGTGTGAGAAGCCTCTAAGAAGAAGTGAAATTTGAGTGCAGACCTGGCCCAGTTAGCGGACTGCCCCGCAACCCAACCCCGGGGCAGGGTGGGTGGGAAGCGCATGTGCAAAGGCCCAGGGGCTGGAGGCTGGCCAGAGTTCGGTGAGTGGGGCGCTTCCCAGCTCCCGGCGAACTAGTCCTCACCCAGCAGCCTGGCCTTGTCTGACATCAGCTCCTGCCTGCTGCTCCTGGCCAATCAGCGTAAGGTATCTTCCAGGCCTCTTGATCGACTCAGCGATGACTACAGCACCTTCCTCGGTCCAATCAGAGCCTGTCCCAGGACTTTGGCTGGAAGCCCTGGGGAGGAGGCCACTTTTGGGGTTTGAGGTTGCTGAGGGCTGGTGATGGAGCGTGGCCTTGGAGGTGTCAGGTCCTGGCTTGAGCTCCCTGCCCGCTTCCCCACTACTCCACCCTGACTCACACCTCTGCTGTGGAGCCCCTGAGCTCCTCATCCCCCCAGTGTCCAGCACACACAGAATGGGAGGGGTTTCACGTTCATCTTCCAGTGTGGTGTGTATCCCATGTCCACTTCCACACTCACAGTGGAACCTAAACCCCTGGGTGGCCCTGCAGCTTGACCTTGGAATAGCTCCTAGCTGAGTCCCCCTCTCCCCCAGCTCTGGGCCCTGCCGCAGCCTGGACGGAGCCAGCAAAACAGAGCCACTGGCCATCGGCTCAGACCTGCCCTCCCTCCCCACGGGCACTTGGCAGTCCCACAGCCTGACCTCCTAGACACAGAAATCAGCCAGGAAAACAGATTAATGGAAAGTAATCAGGTCGTGTTCTCTAAAAATGTCTGTCAGGGGATGAACAGTGACTACCTTCACTTGCAAGGTTCCCCTGCTGCCTGGCTGAGACCGGCCATGCCAGCCCCTCGTTTCTGTCGCTACCCGGCAGGTAGAGTCACCTGCTTTTCCATTCATGGCTTCCACCAGGAGTTAGGTTTTTGTCCCTGCTGTATCCCCAGCACCGAGAACAGTGCCCGGCATTGGTAGGTGTTCAGTAATATTTGCCAAGTAAATAGATGTCTCGCTTGCCTAGCTGGGTAGCTCAGTTCGTTAGAGCATTGTCCCGATACACCAAGGTTGCAGGTTCAATCCCTAGTCAGGGCACAAACAAGAATCAACCAATGAATGCATCAATAAGTGGAAAAGCAAGTCCATGTCATTCTCCCTCTCCCTCTTTCTATCTAAAATCAATTAATTTAAAAAAAAAAAAACAAGTCTGAACATACCGTCAGAGTCTGTGTTATACACTTACTGTGTGTGGGCCCATGTATTTAGTCTTCAGGACGGCCCTGCAAGGCAGAGTATTATCTGCATCTGAGGTTCGGAGAGGTGAAGTGATTTGATCTAGGTCACGTGGTTGTGAGTGTCCCCAGCCACCTTAGTTTCCTTTACTTCAGATGTTGGTACAAAGGGTGAGAAGTCCTGTCGGGCAGCGACTATCGTCCGCTAGGTCCACCCCCCCCAGCCCCGTGCTGAGGGTATAATCAGAGAAGGGAGCTTCCCGGGAGGTGGGGGTTCGAGCCCCGTCTGTCTCAGCTCCAGACCTGGGGTGCAAGCGAGGAGCCCCAGGACAGCAGGGTGCCAGGCAGACCTGCGTCTGGCCGAGGTCTCCTTTCAGACTCGAGGGTGAAAGCTACACACGGTTCCTCGGCAAGGCCAGGGCTGAGCCGAGCATTCGGAGCAGGTCGGCTGCTCCTTTGTTCCTGATGTTTCTCAACACAAAATCAGCCATTGAAATCATCAGAACACCTTCTCCAGGTGGGTCAAGGAAGTAAATGATAAACATAAGTGAACTATAAAAACACTGGGAAAAAGGGAGAAGTTTACAGAACCTTGGAGCAGAGGGGACCTTCTGAGTGTTAGCAAACCAAAAACCATGAGGGGAAAAACCGGTAAGTTCTTTCACATTTGAAACAAAACTCTAAGTGGTAAAACCCGCCATCAAAGCCAGAACGCAAAGTAACTGGCTACAAACAATATACTTATATCATAGGATAAAAACCTGATTTCCTTTGTATATAAAGAGTTCTCATAAATCTATCAGAAAAAGACCCACAGCAAGTAGGAAACTGGGCAAAGGTAAGAGGCTAGTCAAAGAAAAGGGAATACAAATCATCCCTCAACCTCTGAAAGGTTGGTTCTCCCATCTCACCAAGATGAGTGGAAATCAGGCCAGACTTGCAGATTTTCTACCTGGAGGTAAAGACCCAACCCAAGGGGTGGGGACACAGGCTGAGAGGAGAGTAAACTGGTGCCATCTTCCTGTAGGACATTATCTACGAATCTATGAACGTGCATTTGCCCCCTTTTTAAAATTGAGGGGAAATGCCCATAACGTAATATTAACCCTTTTACAGCGAACACTTCGGGGCATTCACAGCGCGGTGTGCCCACCACCTCTAACCAGCTCCAAAACATTTCCGTCGCCCCGAAGAAAACTGCTCATTAAGCACTTCCTTCCCAGTCCCCTTGCACCCGACAAGCAAGCACCAGCCTGCTTTCTGTCCCTACGAATGCACCCGCTCTGGACCCTTCACAGGAACGGCAGTGGACGATCCGGGGCCTTTAGTGTCTGGCTCCTTCCACTCAGTGCAGCACCTTGGAGGTCCCTCCACACTGCAGGACAACGCTGCGTCCCGCATCTGCGCCAGTTGTCTGTCCACCCACTCCAGCGGACGGACGCTGGGCCGGTTCCCCCTTTCGGCCGTTGGGGATAGGGCCGCTGCGAACAACAAATGCCTTCGATCCCGCAGTTCCGTTACCGGGCACTGATCCTACCCGGGTGCCCGCACCAAAACACGAAAGCATGAAACTGGGAGCGATCTACAAGTCCATCGCCCGTGGGGGCGGGGCTGCGTGGAGTCCGCACACGCAGAGACCGCTCCGCAGCCCGGGCAGGGACACAGGCGGCTCTTCAAAGACTAAGATGAACAGCAGTGTCTTACGTGATCATTTCAGGCAGGGCCTCTTAGGGTCGTAGTCCTGTCCTTCAGAGAACCATGGTCATCCAAGGTCAAGGTCATTGCTCCCACGAGGAGAGGAGTACAGCCTTTTCAGAATTGCCTTAGCGTCTTCGGGGGTGGGGGGCACACCTGGAATATGTATGGGGTGTCGGCGGGGTGGGGGTGATGGTTTAAGGCAGCTCTTTTGACCCCAGCTCTGACTGCGCTTGCGCAGAGCGCGCCGTACCCTTCCAGGACCGGGGGCACAGCCGGGCAGGGGCTTTGAAGGGGTCTTGCAAAGCCATCGGATGGAGCAACCTCCGGCCCCCAGAATGCGTTGCTTGTCCTGACGAGACCTCGTGGGGAGCCTGCGTTTGGGTCAGTGGACTTTTCTCAACAAGCCACTGAGCTCTTTGCAGCCTCAGCTTTCTGGAGCCGCGAGTCCCGTTAGTGCAGACAGAGCGGTCACATTGTAGCAGCGCAACGTCGCACCAGTGGGGACGGTCACGCGCCCCACGTTCCTTTGACCCTGTGTCTGCGAGTGGGACTCGACTAACACGCGGCTGGCAGAGGAACAGCCTGTTTGTGAAAGAATCCTAGGAACTGACTTCAAAAGACATTCACTCTGACCTGCAGGCCTCCAGCTCCAGGAGGTTTGCTGACCTTCAGCCACGGGGCCAGGGAGACTTGAAGCCGGGATGACTAACTAGGATCGCGCACACAGAGCAGGGCCTTCTCTTGTCTTATCAGAATGGGCCGCTTAGTTGCTCATGGAGGAGTTTGCAAGCTCTTCCCTTGATCTTTGTTCTGTCCTCCTCCTGACAGAAACCTCTGCCTCCTCTGAGAGGGGGAGACGGGCTTTGAGATGCGAGTCTCCACCTTCCAGGTGGTCGGCGCCCGAATAAAACCACCTTCCTTTCCATCAGCACCTGCCTCTCCAGGGTTGGCTTTCGCTGCGGCGGGCAGCTGGACCCATGCTTGGTGACCGTCCCCTGCCGTTTCCAGGTCCTGGTGGCACCTGTACCTCTGGGCTCAGGGCCATTCCCCTCCACCCTCCAAGTGCCTTGCTCTCACCCCTTCTTGAGTCTCCCTCTCCTCTCGGCCTTCCTCTTACGAGGACTCAGAGGTGACATCCCGGGACTGCCAGGCAACATCCCTACCTTCTCACCCCTCAGAGTCCACTTTGCCATGGAAAGAAATCTTCTCGGGCCCAGGGGTGGGGGGCCATCGCTGCCACCACCGGCCCACCTACTGGTGTGGTGGGAGCAGGTCCGCTGGCTCTCAGTGCTGTTCAGACTTAAACCCCAGGCCCCGCTTTGCCCGCCCAGTGCGGTGAATAATCTCACTTTGCTTAAAGAGAGCTCTAGACTTTGTTCTTGGCTCCTGAGAGCTCTCACCCCACCCGATTGCCAGGGGTAGGGGCTGGCCCTGCCAGAGAGACCACCCAGGTGACTTAGGAGGGGACTTTGGCTCCATGGACAAGGAGGCTCAGTTCAGACACAGGGCCCGTCAATCAGTCAATCGATCAACCCCGCAGACATAATGAAGCCCCGGTAAAAACTGGACACCAGAACTTGGGTGAGCATGT